ATTAAAGCATTTGTCGAATACACTATTAGGATTGCCCTCTCAAATATTAAATTATTAGTAAAATCTAATTTTCTATTTAACATGCTTTTTTAGATATGTTATAATTAAATCAATTTATGGTTTATTAATTATAATTTAAATCTTAAAAATAAATATAAAAGCAGTATAATGATCATTTTACAAATGATGATCGCTTCTCAATTTTCAAATCCACCGATTTTGTTATAATTAGACCATTGGCAACACCTTGCTCCAATGGTTTCTGAAAATACAAACATTGTCAATAATTAAAGAAAATTATATATTAAACTGTATATAACTATAAAATATAATACCTCTGTTGCATGAAAAACATATCGATGAACCAGATTGACCAGGGCTAATTTAATCTGCAGCTTAGCGAACCGCCCGCCCAGACAGTTTCGAGAGCCGGCACCAGATGGCAAATACGTATAGGGATTGTGGGCTATATATTCCGGTAGAAATCTTTCCGGTTTAAACTCTTCCGGATCGGCGAAGTTTTCCGGGTCTCGGTGTATGGAATAGGTAGGGATGTGCACCACGTGATCCTTTTTGATGGTAATACCGGTGCCCTTAAGCTCGTAGTCCTCATTGGCGACCCTCTCGTGGAATAGGACGGCTGTGTATAGCCGTAGGGTTTCGTCAATGACTGCGTCCATGTATTTCAATGAGTGAAACGTTTCGTACGGATCGGCACTTGATTTCTGTTTTAATTATTAAGAAAATTATTAAAAATTAATTTTTCAATTAGTACTCATATTATAGTAATATTATAGGATTAATTTATAATTATCCAGACCATTAAGTTCCAAAAGTGAGCAGCATGAACCATTAGTAATGCTATAGGTATTACAAAATGTAACTATTTAAAACCCATGGATCCCACTGATCCAGATCAAAACCTCAAAACCAGACTCCATAAGCTCGACTCAAACTCAAACGTTTTTAATATGATATTAATAATATCCTTCAAATGTTTGGCTCATAAATATGAACACATTATTGTGAGTGTTATAAAATATTAACTGGAAATTAAAGATTCAAATTTTTAAATAAAGTATTTATTTTAGGATTTTTATGCCTAATTGAAAAATAAGTAACTCATAGAAATGTATCTCAATAAAATTGTTTAACTTTGTTAATATTTTTCTATAATTCTCTACTAAAAATCAATATAGAAATGTCTAGAAATTTCAAATTTACATTTGACTTTAAATACAGTAAAAATAGTAATGATATTTGTGGTTGTATTACAAACTTTGTAATGCGGTTTATATATTGATAATCTATAAAAAATAAATAAAATATGGTCTACATATTGTTTGTTTTATAATATTGTTGAGGTCTCTGCTCTAAACTATTTTAAGGGTTATTGGTTTTACTAATTAGTTTTTTATATACTGCAATGCGTTTATCAATTTAATGTGTAGTTAAATTTTATCTTTTACATTGGTACTTAATATAAAAAATTATGGCATAGACATAATAAATAATTTATGCCAAACCTGTTGTTTTTCATGAAATGTAATAACTTCTTCGTATAGTTTTTGTTGAACTTCCGGGTGTTTAGCGATTGCATACAAACACATGGATAGTGTAGCGGCAGTGGCCTCTAACCCGGCCGCTAAAAACATAACACATTGGGCTATGAGCTCATCGTATGAAAGGCCTATTAAAATATATAAAAATGTATTCATAAAATTCTAGCCAATAAATAAATTATGAAATCTATAATCATTTAAAAACTATTTAATACTCACTTTTATCCGTCATATCATCGGTGGTCTGTATTTCCCTATATTTCTCTGCACTCTTACTATCTGTATATTCGTCGGACTCATCGATCGCCTCATTATTATTATCTTTATTTGAATCCAACATTAGTTGCAAAAAGTCGGTTTTTTTACTGAACTTCCGGTTTTCAAAAGACGTTTCCTATCGTCGATCAGATTGAGAGTAAAATCGCGGAAAAATGCCGTAACTTTACTGTTATATATAGGTATCTTAAACATTATAGCCACTTTTGGTGCCAGCATTACTGTGACTAATTTCATCAGGGCAACAAAACCTGTGCTGAACAAATTACGCGCATTTTCTATGATAGGGTTATTTGGGTCGAGCAGTGCCGACACTTTCCTACCGAATGCCACTTGTATTATAGACTCCATAACATAGGCTCCGACAATCCGTTTCATGTCTTCCGGTGCCGAGAGTTTGCCATTACTTTTGGCGAAGATTTTCTCGATGTTGTCGTTCAAAGTGTCCACACATTCAAGGATTAAAGGAGTCATTCGTCTGAGTTTTCCGGTCGTAAATGCGGGCGATATTACTGAACGGATCCGTTTCTACTCGGAATCCTTCTTAAAGGCCACCATGTTTTCAAACATAGGGTCACCGCCCGTACGGAACTCCTAAAGTATATAATATTATTATATCTGGTCTTAGAAAGCAAATTCATGATTATATATAGGATATGAATTTAAATATTTGTCATTGCTTTCGAGTAAAGTATTAAACTTAATAAAGTTTAATATAAGTAGCAGCATTGTACATAACTAAGTTTATGACTATTTTTATATTTGAATAAATACTAATCATTCAATATACAATGCATGCTACTTATATTAAACTTTATTAAGTTTTATAACGGGTGTCCCATCGTATCAGTTAGACATGTAATTAAAATTAAAAATATTTACAGTAATTAAATCCTAACAAAAACTATACCAAAATGTTCGAAATTTATTAAAAGGATACTGTCATAAAAGCATGAGTTTCCTAAGCTGGCATTTTTAATTTGTTGATTGGATATGAAAGCCCATTCAATGCTGAGTCCGAATATGTAATTTATATTGTCCTGTGACCTCGGGTTCAGCCGCAGTGACCACTTTTATCGGGAATATTTTCTCATAATAAATATGGATATGTGACATATCAATTCAATAGAGAATTTAATACAGATTATGATTTCATCACTCAAAATATCAAAAACTTAATATATCACGAAATAATGCTATTTTATACATATTTCATATATAAAATGTGATTAACTCAAATATACGTCAAATCTAGAATGAGTTTAGCCTTCAAGCAATTCATCTAAGACTTATTACCAACCCCTCCCAATCCGGCCTCCTCCACTAAACCCCATCCATCCCCCTACCCGACCTCCTCCACACTCCACAATCGCCGATGTCGTGCAGGTGTTCCCAATGGGAACTACACCTGTGCGGTGCGAGAATCAGGAGTTGGATCTCCCGGAACCGATGAAGATCTTGGCCGGCCCTACAGCATCTGACATATGAATTGCTATCCTTGGCTACCCTCTTGCCGAGTCATCACACCTTTGCCTCACATCACGTATACTCCAGTCATACCAGTGCCTCACGTACAGCACTAGAACTTCCCAATAGAGTCGTACTGTACTCACAGATACTGACCATTAGCTCATTATCTCATGTATAAGGCATGGCTTCTCTATGCCTTAGAACGAGTCTATATTAAGCACTCATTTAGTGCACATCTATTGTAATGAATTAAGTCTTTGTTTAATAAAGTCGTTTAGTTTGTAATCATTAAGTGTTTTCATTTGTGTCCACATCTGGATTCACTGAGTGATCGTCGCATAAAGAACCCGATGTCCAGCACACCACCCGGTGTTCTGGCCTGACGTTTCTTATATCTAATAATATTTTACTAAAAATGTCCATAAATAACGTAGAATATTAAAAATATTCAATATTTTAGCATTTATATTCTTTTTACACTTTAAATATAAACCTTACAATATTTCTATTATAACTACCATGATCTGTGAAAAATTCTCTATTGAATTGATATATCACATGTCCATAATAATTATGAAAAATATTCCCGGTAAAAGTGGTCACTGCGGCCGAACCCGAGGTCACAGGACAATATAAATTACATATTCGGACTCAGCATTGAATGGGCTTTCATTTCCAATCAACAAATCAAAAATGCCAGCTTAGGAGAATTTCGACAATATCCTTTATTATGCGCAGTTACAGTGCAATTAAATTATAATTAAATAAAAAATATAAATTTTTTATAGCATTTGTTAACATAATTATGGGCCAATAAATTTATTTTTAATGGTATTTAAAAACAAAAAAATAGTGATAATGTACATTATTATGACATCAATTGTTGCACACAATTTGATTATTGTATTATTGTAGTTATATTATATTGGAGCGTAACTCACTATTCCTAAGTGCAATACCTAGGGGCCAACGCCTTACCTATGAGGGGTTGCCGTTCCCTTCACTTACCGTCTGTTCGTGACTGAGTCAGTGACTCAGTCCGTGAGTTCCTTAACTCACGCGCGGGAACGCACAGGTAATGATTGTGAGTTAGCTCGGGTTTAGACGGTTAAATAATACTCTTTATTATGAGTCACTTATACAATAAAACAAAAGTACATAAAAAGTAAAAATAGGTCTCAAAGTTGGGATACTCTCCACAAAAGCCGTCAACCATTGACTCAAAGTCAGTGAGTCCTGAGAGTCCGCTGAGTTAGGTGTGGGCTCTGCCTTATATACCAGACACATCCCATTCCACATACTGGGTAACTATGCGCTCATACTGCACTGTACTGTAATGCGATACCTTATGTAAGGGACTGTGGTATGCATATAAGGGGTATAACTGACGGGGAACATGAGTTAAGCACAGCTTCGCTCTAATATTTTATTCATTGAGACTGAATAGTATATAATTTTTAAAATTAAAATGTTTTTATGCTTTGTTTCATATAATTTAGTGACCCTTGTTTTATATTTTGAGTTCATTAACTCAATTAAAAATATAACAATAAACTCAAATACAATGAAACAAATGTTGAAAAATAATTGTAGTACACTTTAAAATTGTTTTCAAATAACCACAATATTGTTACTGTATATTGAACTCATCAAGCATATGTTTTATATTTTATAAAAATTAAATACACTTTGAAGCAAATGATTAATAAAATATTTTATATGAAATTTTAAAATACCCTTTCAATATGCACAAATAATTGTACTGTACTAAATAACTATAATATAGTATTACCGGTATAATAAATTTTTAACAAGGTTTTAATCTAATGATAAATAAATAATTATATGCTAAGGGGAACATTTAGTGGAAAATTATATAAACTTTTTAACCTTGCTATTAAACTATTCTAAGTCATTCAACTTTAAAGCATAAAAGGTTTTATATTTTAAATTCAATGTTTTAATTCAGATATTTTTTATATTGTTTAAGATCAAGCACAACTGGCATAACAAAAAAAGGTTTAACAAAATAGAAAACAAATAATTTAGAAAAATAATTTGCTGTAAAATTACATACAATGTGGACAATAGAAAGTAACTAGTTGAAAACTTATAAAACCTGAAGTAAAACATATTTTTGTTTTATTTATTAAATTCATACTAAAATCATTTTCAAAATAGGTTTATATTGTAAAACAATTTAAACTCCAATTGATAGTTTAACATACAGATTAGTAAAACTAATTCACCCGTTTAATCATACTAATTTATAAACTATCAATTAGTTAACAATGCTCAACCAACGATACTCATCATTGGCCATCATGGTCATATCGGTGACTATGTTCATCGGAATATCAGGGCTCTATTCGGGTGGACGTGTCGTTAGGCAAATCATTGACTTTGATTGCATTACGACTGCCACCAAGTCGTGCGCGATGTCACTCAACCAAATCACCAATATAACTTACCCGGCTCTTAAACAAATAGCCGCTTACGTCGCTCCCACGCTCACCAATATGCCAAATGCCGATCAGTCTGTCACCGCGTGCTCCACATTGTTTGGCATGTTGAAAGGCAATTGTAACATAACCATGTGCCAATATGGTGAAGCCTACCTGACATGTATCACCCAACCAGGCCCTGGAGCTGATAACTACAATACCACTGCTAATATCTGCAATAGGATCATGAGCTTTACACCCTATAGCAAGTTTAGCGATAATGCTAATGTCTATGCAGTAAATTTGCAAATCGTGATCGGGCTCATGAATTTGGTTAAAAAGGACATATCCCAGGATCAACCTCTTATTGATTGTATGAAGCAGATATTGTTTGGGAACTCTATCATCGTGGCTAAATAGCCTATACAGATGTTTGCCTAATTTTTCACCTATTAAACAATTAGTAATACTATTGGTGCACATAGAAAATATAACATAATTATTTAAGTTATATTGATATAAAAATTAAATTTTATTTTTACAATTCAAATGTATTATGCACAGTTACAGTGCAATTAAATTATAATTAAATAAAATATAAATTTTTATAGCATTTGATAAGCAGATAGCATTTGTTAACATAATGATGGACCAATAAATTTATTTTTAATGGTATTTAAAAACAAAACAGAGTGATAATGTACATTATTATGCCATCTACTGTTATTGTATTATTGTAGTTATATTATATTTTATTCATTGAGACTGAATAGAATATAATTTTTAAAATTAAAAAGTTTTTATGTTTTGTTTCATATAATTTAGTGACCCTTGTTTTATGTTTTGAGTTCATTAACTAAATTTAAAATATAACAATGAATTCAAATACAATGAGACAAATGTTGTAAAATAATTGTAGTACACTTTGAAATTGTTTTCAAATAACCACATTATTGCTACTGTATATTGAACTCATCAAGCATATGTTTTATATTACCCTGAATATGCGGGTATAATCCGCGGATTATCTGAGAAAAAAAGTGATTTTTCTGAAAAATATAACGGGGCGTACTATACGCGGATGCGTATAATG